ACAGTTACCCTTTTGCTTCCAAGGCAGTGAGGCCTCCCTATTCCCGTGGAGGGAGGTCAGCACAGATCTTCAGGGCAAAGGCACCATCACCAGAGCTCGCGCCGTCCCCAGCCAGTGCCTGACCCAGGGCCATGCCCTGTGCTCAGAGCGCCCGGGCGGTGGCCCCGCTCTCTCCCCCAACTCCTCAGCGGCAAGGTGGTGCGAAGAGGCATTGAGGCCACGGAGGCTGGAGGCTGAGACAGCTCCTCCTCAGCCTGGTGGTCTCTCAGGGCACCGCCTCCCCAGCAGCCAACAAAGGCCAGGGAGGGACTGGTCCCGTCACCCAGGGACAGATGTCCGTGTGGGCGCGGGTACACACTTGTTACGCGTAACTGGGTATGAGGACGGCACGTCCGGCCACCCAGGAGGAAATGCATCGCAGCAGCGCCTGCCCCCAAAGCGGGTGTCCAGGCGACTCAGGGCCGGAGACGCAGCCACGGAGCTCAGCGCAGCCATCGTTCCTGTCCGGGCTCTTCTCGCTCTTGCCTCCACAGCGCCTCCCACCGAGGCCAGCGAAGAACAAGGCGATGAGCAGCAGTGGGACGGGCCTCCCCCTGGCCTGCAGGAGGCCGGGCACCTCCTGAGGCAGCTCCCTCCCCGCACAGTGGGACAGGTCACCTCACTTCCCGCCTGTGTCCCAGGGGTCACAGTTCCTGTGTGCTGTCTGTCACCTCCTAGTAGCACACACGTCCTAGGGTCTCACAGAGGCCACCCGAGGGTGGAGGGCCCTTCTGTGCCTGGCGCACACCTGCACTGCGAAGTTTACACGCAGCCCCAGAAGACGAGGCCCAGGTCGCGGTGCCCAGTAGCCCAGCGCCAGCGGCTACCCAAGCAGCGGCTACCCAAGCAGCGGCTACCCAAGCACAGGGCTACCCGATCAGCGGAGAGTCTCTGCCCGCGGGCCCGGGGAGGGGGGTGAGCAGGACGGGTCTGGCTGTCACTGCACGCACTGCGCGGACAGGGACCCCTCGGCTTCCCGCAGCTCACATGTTGCTGAAATCATCGCGACATTACTGTTACTCTTGCCACCAACTGGGAGGCTCTTCTGGGGACGTGCCCAGCTCTTGTGTTGGGCGAGCCGTCCTGGGCGTGGCTCTCAGCGAACCTCCTGTGTCACCTCCCAAAGGCCTGCGGGGCTGCGCTCAGGGCTCAACAGAGGTTTGTGTGTAGACCGGTTGGTTGGTTTACTCATCCATCGCTCAGTTCCAAGTAAACGCCTACAGAATGAATGCACCACCCCGGGAAATCTGCCCAGAGTGAAGAAATGAATTCAATCTACCAGATGTGCACTGAGCACACCTACGTACCCGACGGTGGGCACGGGGCCGAGGACTGAGGCTGTTCCCACAAGATCAACACAGAAAACAGAAGGACGACGGACAGCCTCGGGCTCCACAGGAGACCCTGGGGGGTGGGACGGAGTCAGGGACACGGGGCTTAAAGCATACCTGGGCGATGACTGGCGCACCGGCCACTAGACCCCACGCATCCGGCTTCCCCCGGGGCCACAGCACTGCTCGGGGCCTCAGGCCTCAGGTGTGAGGACCGCATCCTGCCAGCGTTCCCACTTTTTCCTGAATTCCACGCATGGCCTCAGGCCTCCGCCACCCCTCTGCGCAGCTGCGGCCTGTCTGGCCGGAAAGGAAGCCCCGTGGAGGGGCTCTCAGAGGTGGGCCCACTGCCTGCTCGAGACACAGCGCCTGCACTGGGCAGGGCGGGATGCCTGGATGCCCGGGTGCCGTGGGGACGCTGAGACACCGTCCTACCCAATCCTACTGACCAAGGGCTGCAGCTCCAGATCCAGAGCACCCTCCCCTCACCTGGTCACACAGTGGCCCTTCCTCTGGTCCATTACGTGGTCCTTACACACAGGGCAAGACCAGGCCCTGTACCAAGCCCCAGCCCCATGTGATTCCTGGGGCACCTGGACCATAAAGGCTTCTCCCACACAGGCCCGTTCCCTTCTGTGACCTGAACCCACATGCGAGAGGTTGTGTGTGGGCACCCGCACAGGATGCCGACACCACGTGCCCACGCGCCCAGCGCGGTGTCAGGAAGGTGAGGCTGTCTCCCTCCTGCAGCGGGACAGGTGGCAGGCCCGCTGGCTCAAGAGGTGACCCCCTCACGGCCCCAGTCCTACCTGGACTCGATGACCCTCTATGGGCCCATAAACTGTCCTCACACCCACAACTTTAGAAGTATGCACAGCAATGAGTTGTCCTGGGCAGTCTCCTGGGTCTTCCGAGGCTGGTCAGGGCCCTGCCGATGCCGGTGTGGGGACAGTGGCCAGGGCAGGACAGCGTTCGCCTCGCACACGGTCCCAGCAGAGACTCTCCAGGGCTTTGCCCAAATTCTACATCGATTCCCTTTGTTCATTCAAGACAACAACGCAGCTCAGAGCGAGGCACCAGCAAGTGGGGGCCAAGTGGAGGGGCAGGCCTGAGCCGTCCCCGCAGCGCCCCTCCCGGGCGGCAGCTAACGGGAGGTTTCTGTGGGGCCCTGACTGCATCTCCTGCCCTGTCAGGGCAGTGGCGCCCTGAGGCCGCAGGGGGCTGAGGGGAGGTCCTCGGATGCTCCGCTTGGCCACCGGGGTCCACTTGCTGCCCCGCTGGCTCAGTCTCCCTTCGGCGGTGCTTTTGGCCCGAAGGCAGGGGTAGGCTCAGTGCCTGGAGCACGTCAGTGCAGCCAACAGGAGGTTCACGGGCCGAGTGTGTCATGCAGCTTATGAAGCACCTACTATGTGCTATAGGCCTGTCCAGGCCTCGGGCACTGCAGTGCTCAAAACACATGTGTCCCACTTTCGTGGAGTTGTACTCGGGCTCCCAGGACAAGTGGCTGCTCCGGTCGCAGGACTGAGGCCACACGTTCCTGTCCCCCTCGCAGACAAGGGGGCTTTCCCACACCCACTCTCTGTGGTCAGACTGTCCCTCTGACCCTCCTCTGCCTCCTGAGGTAAGGCAGCCTCTCCCTGTCACTCAGGGAGCTCTTGCTCCCGGCCAACCACCTCCTCTTGGAGCCTCAGGCTCCGGCCTGCAGGGGACCCCGTGACGCGGGAGGCAGCCCCGACGGGTCTGTGCAGAGCGCCGTCGTTCATCCGAGGGCTGTGCACTGGCGTGTGGAGGGGGACGAGGAGGAACCTCTTCGCTGCTTTATTTTCAGTAACGAGCCTCATCACTTGGTCATTGTGCACCTTGTCCTCGGCCACACTCCCCTGGACACTTACCTGAGGCCCCTCAGAGGCAGCAGGAGGTGCTGTGAGGACCACGAGCAGGGGCCACTCAGGGGCAAAGGGTGCCATGTGAGCAGGGATGAGAGGAGGAAGGAGGGGACCCTGTACTGACCCGGCCGAGCGGAGACCCCTGTGCCCTGTCAGGAGGCCCAGAGCCGGCGCAGAGGGCTGTTCAGGAGAGACAAAGTCACCGTAGCACTCAGGTGGGCGAGAGAGGAACGGACAGAAGAGGGGGCAGCGCAGAAGGGCCTAGAAGTAAGTCTGGAGGTGAGAGCGGGGCATGGTTCCTGCCAAGTGTTGGGCAGCAGGCAGGCTGGGAGGACCCGCAGGCTGGGCAGCAGGCAGGCTGCGAGGTGCCCTGAGCGGGTGGCAGGGTGAGGAGGGCTCTCAGGAGAGGGGGAGAACTTGGGTGTGGGGGACGGGGCAGTCTATGGGGAGCGAGTGAGCGAGGGGGGAGGACAAGTGAAGGCGGGACCAGAACACAGAGGTAGGGACACACAGAGTGCTGGGAGGGCAGCTGAGGACCCTCCCAGAGGGTGGGGGCACCTGAGGGGGCACAGGCAGGGACAGGGATGGGTCAGAGGTCCTGAAGCAGCCGGCGGGCGGAGTGGAGGCTGGAGGTTTCTCCAGGAGGAGATGGGGGAGTGGCTCCTGCCCAGAGGAAGGGGTGAGGCTGGTGGGAGGGTCACTCCCCAATGAGGATACA